CTCGACCCTAACACTCCCTCTCAATTGCATTCCCCAAATAGATATTCTAGTTGGGGCAGTGATCTTGATGCTGGGCAACGGTGCAATTGCATAATAACCGCACATTTGGGGGTGGGACTAGGATAGGGTAGGAATCATTAATTTTGCGAATAAAGCAATGTAGGCTACTCCAAAAAGCACTCTTGCCCAATGGCATGGGAATCCGTCCGTATTCCCATACTCTGTATGAGAAATGAATTTTTATAAGAGTGTCTTCTTTAAAAAAAATAACTCGATATTACAGAGTAACCTCTTTATGTAAGAAAGTCCGTGATGTACTTTATAAGGTTCATGATAGAAACATTTTTTTACTTGTGGTTAACTAATACTGTCTCGTGATAATTGTCATGTTTTTGTATGTACTCGTATTTATGTGCTCGAAACATTTTCTTCCCTTAATCATGTATGTCCAAATTCTAAAATTGGATCTCTTCTATTGATTACTCCGTTTGTCCTAATTTAAATTGCTCATATCGTTTTACAATGTTCGATTGAATTTATTTACAAATTAATTTATTTGAAAAATGCAATTGAAATTTAAAAAAATAAAATTTATATATATTAAAAACTAGGGCACATTGAATATCATACCAGACACGAGTAACACAATAGTTAGAAAAACAAATAAAATATATTTATGTAAATAGGGTGTGATGTAAAGTGAAGCCCAATGTCATTAACCATTAGTGTAATTTAGAACTAATTTGGGACAGGGAGTAACAAATTCTTGCATCTAAGACTTCATGGACAATTTTCTACCTTTTTTGTCCAGAATATTTGTCTACTTTTTTTTTAAAACCAAAATTAGTAGACTGTGCCTTTAGATTAAATAATAATAATATTAGATATTGATATAAAAATATTTTATTTAACTTATTATATAATTTTTTTTAAAATATTATTTTATCTAATTAATATACAATACTCCCTCTGTCCGCTATATTCGTCCACTTTTGACTTTTGAAATTGTTCATCTAAGCACTTTGACTCATCAAATTCTCTCAATGTATAAGCCTAAATATAGTCATGTGTGATCTTATTTGATTTGTCTTAACATATATATTATTAATATATAATTTCTATAATTTTTTAATATACAAATTACAAGATAAAATGGATTAAAGAAGTGTATTGGATGGTGTGCAAAAATGAAAGTAGACAAATACTCTGGAACGGAGGTAGTATATATTTTATATAGTTATATGACAAAAATTGAAAACGGTTGACTGATAAAAATCGAAACTGGACAACTACTTTGATGAGAATAGTATCCAATGTCTAGTCCATGCCAAACTACCACATACACTATTTATATATTTTTATGAAAACTTGTTTGGCGAATATCTCAAAATACATACATACAATTGAAATAAGATCCCATCCATCCATATTAAAATATAAAACCCCTTTGCCACAATAATTTTTAGGCCGGGTTTCTTTATAATGATATCACCTTAACAATATTAATACAATATTACTAATAGTAATAATGAAAATTAAAGCAGCATTGCTATAATCAATCCATTTTGGACTCCGAAAAAAACCCATCCATCCATCCATCAAGGAGATTGATTGAGACTCGGATTTGATTTGAATCACCTTAGATGAGTGTTGTAGGTGTCGAAACCGCCGGAGGCATGAGGCGGCGGCACGACGGCAACCAGAGGCAGTTTTTCTATGTACATGAACAGCCTTCTTAGGTTCTCCCTCATCACCGTCGCCACGTCAACCACATCCCGGCGGCTGCTCATATACACCCACAGATCCGATGACCTCACCCTCTTCAGGCTGTCGCGGCAGAACGGGCACGACTCTGACCTTGACCGCCTGCAATCATAAATATCACCAAAACATCAACTTCAACGTTCAGATTTAGCATTTTGAAAAGTTTATCTGATGACAATGTTGGTCTAAGGGGTTACTCATTGGCCCATGTTTTTCGTAAGATTTTTCTAAGAGTGCCCTACTATCATGGTTGTGTGTCACGTCATATAGTCAGATCGTATGACTCCAATACCATGTTCAGAATAATATTCGTCTTAACTCACCTCAAAAGAGCTCTCTAGGGGCGTGGTTTATTCATATTTAGCCATTAACGGAACATAATGTTAATTAAGAGCCTATTCTCTTAAACATATTCTTATAAGAATGAAATCAGACCATATCAAAAACAACTTTAAATATAGCTAGAGCCAGACCAGATCAAATCAGGCGAATAGACAAGCACTACGGGTTAGGAATATAAACTTGAAATGAAGGAAATGGACGTACCATTCGCGGTAGCATTTCATACACATGGCGTGACTGCAATTCGGCAACACAATTTTGCTAGTCACTTCCATGCATATTCCACATTCTTCATCACTCTCCATACCATCCAAATCCGACGATTGCCCGCAGTCTGTGTCGTCTCTTCTCTTGTACCTCTCCACGCAAACCGCCCTTTGTTTTTTGTCCTCAGAATCGGTTACCCCACTCTGAAGTTGAATTATGGAGGGATAAACAACCGCTGTCCATGAATTACAAGAAAGAAATAATAATATTATTAGCAAGAACTTAATAATGCTTGCAATATGAAGTCAGTTGTTTACTTGTGGACCATTCTAAGCTCACCATAGAATTCTCTAATACTTGCTTTTCTTTCATGAGTAGACATGGTTGTTGTCCCATCCACATAAACCTTTATTACAAAACAAAACACATACTAATTAAATGGGAAAGTAAAGAAGGGACCAATGGATATTGGGCCCAACGAAGAGTACCACGAGCCCAAGATCGTAGGCCCTAAACCCTAAACCGGGCAGTTCAAAAAAGTACTCCCTCGGTCTCAAATTAAACTTTTCACTTGCTTTTTCCAATACATAATTTGGTTAAGAAAAAAAGTCTAACCTTGTAGATTAGTATTCTGAGGAGTCCAAGAGCGCCCGCTAGATGACAATCGGTCCATTGCACCAAAAACATGAAGAGGTGCGCCGTGGGGCTATACGATATTCGCATTTGCAGGCGGGCCCCATCATACTCCCTCGGGAACTCGGATGCCCTGCAACCAACCAACCACATTACTACACTGCGATCCCAATGTATAGTTGTGAGATTTCATCCCAAAACGAATTCGCAATGTACGTGGGATTAACTTATATTCTTGAATTGCGTGTTCGATGTGAGAATAAATGATGGCACATTTTTCAATGTGATTTGTTTTCTTAATTAGGGATTATGCCTACATTATTATTCTGTTATTCTCTATTTTCTTGCTGATTAAAGCCCTATTTGGTAGCATTAATCACTTTTTCATTTTTGTCAATAAAATAAAACGAATAAATCACTTTTTCATTTATTATGCTTATTTCGATTATTCTACTAATATTTCTTTAAGTTAAGGAGAATGAGAAAAATAAGCGGAATAATATAATAATCACATTTAACAGAAATTGAATTTTATAAAATTCTTTTTTCCTACTCAACCCATTATTTCTTCCACCAAACGGGGACCAAGACTTTTAAGTATCTTTGGCTCTATATATAAATAAATTAATTACATGCAAAAAAACAAATTCTTACCCCCACCAATAACCAATTCTCACCAAGAAAAACAAAAAAAGAGTCCAAAATAAAACAAAAGAGTAAATAAAAATTCCACTTTAGAACAGCATAAAAATGATGCCTTTACCAAAAACTGAAGCAAAGTGAAGTGATGTTCAACCAAACGGTGATACCAACTTTTTCTAAACAAATTGCCCCGCAAGATTAAAGAAATTAAAAATCTAGAATAAATTCACCTCATTCACCTCATACCAAAAACAAAAAAAGCTCCTTCAATATTCAGAATAAACTCTTTTAAAATACCAGGCAACTGCACTGGGAGGCAACTATGTTAAGCATAGAGCCTCTGTAGCGACTGTTTGGTTGGCCGGGTCTGGGGGGCTCTCGGGGATGAGGTTTATCCTTAATAAACTATATTTTAAGTTGGGTATGGCCAAACGTGTAGGGACACGCTCAGTATGCTAAGTCATATGAAGTCCGAGGTCAAGATTTCTTGTGACGGGACCGTAGTACGATTGGTCGACTAGTATATAAAAAAGTTTACACACCAAAGATTTTTCTGGTGAGCTTAACTTAGTTAAGTCAAGTGGGGGTTTGATTCTAGGCAACTATAATGAAGAACAACTAGAGTCCTTGCACAGAGAAATATATCATCAAATAACTTATAAGCACAGAAATATGTGTTATCAGCTAACTCAGAAATTTAAAACTGTTTAGAAGCAGTTTTAACCAGCTTATAAGAACAAAGAAACATGCACTATGATCTTTTCATATCTCAACAAATGGCATGTTAAAGAAACGAATTCAATGAAGATTAAGAACACCGGCCTCTTATTATATGGACTATATGGTTATGGTGGATGAAATGTGTATATATGTTTTTTATATACTGTAATTAGAATTTTAAAAAAATAAAACCAAAGAAATTTGGGAGTAATTTATATCGATCAATGATCAAAAAGATGGGAAACCCATTTGATTATTCTTAAAAAAGAACAACCAAACCAAACAAAAAAATAAAATCACAAATAAATTAAGAAGAGAAAAACAGAGGCCACCAGCTAGGGTCTCTAGCTAATTCATTTCTGGAAACAAGAAGAAGAATTGAAGAAGATTTGAAGAAGATCAGAAGAAGAGTTAGAGACATACAGGGTGTTGGCATGTTGAATATCAGCTTCTAGAACCTTCAGAGACTCCTTGAAGGATTTTCGCATTGGCCCTCCAAAACCTCCACCCCCAACAAACATCCCTTTAATTACCCCTCTCTCTCTCTCTCTAACTCTTGAAATTAAGCTCTAAGCCCAAATCTTCAGTTCCATTTTCTCCAGGATTCTTTTCCAGTTTTTGTATAATAAATCAATGATTTTCTGATTTTTTTTTTTATAAAAAAAGAAGTAATTTTGTGTTTTCCTTTTTTTTCTTCTTTTCCCGATGTGCAACAGATGGGAGTGGGAGGACGTGCTTCTCTATGCTCTCTCTTTGTTGAATGACAGAGATCGGGTGGGGAGTGTGTGTGGGCACTGAGCAGATTTCGTGGCCACGTGGCGCCATTACTTGAGCTTCTCTTCTACTCTAGAAAAATGTTAGAAATCCTAGAATGTTTGGTTGAGAAAAATATTTTACCATATTTTCTCACAAGAAAATGATTTTTAGTTACAATTTCGCCACATTTTCTTTCTGTCACAAAAAGAATGACACAGTTACTATTTTGATCTTTCAATAACTTTTATTTGTTAATTTATTTTGGTTGATCATTTGATAAATGGCTAAACTCCACCTTTATCAATTGTGCACGATTGGTCCTTCAAGTTTTAAAAATCCATAAATAGTCCTTCAACTTTATGAGTTATGCACGATTGGTCCTTCAAGTTTTAAAAGTGCATAAATAGTCCTTCAAGTACACGTTAACCCTCCAGATGAGGTCCTTTTGACAGTAAATGTTAAAAGCTAAATGGAATACTAGCTCCATATAATACGGAATAGTCGTACCTAGTGGAATTTACTCGTATTATATGAAACTAGTATTCCATTTAGCTTTTAATATTTACTGTCAAAATGACTTCATCTGAAGAGCTGACGTGTACCTAAAGGACTACTTATGGACTTTTGAAACTTGAAGGACCAATGATGCAGAACTAATAAAGTTGAAGGATTATTTATGGACTTTTAAAACTTGAAGGTCCAATCGTGCACAACTGATAAAGTTGAAGGACCAATGGTGGATTTTAGCCTTTGATAAAGTAAAATATATATTCTTGTCGCATCTTGTTTTGTGAGACTTTTGATGTACTTTTGATCGGTATAGTTTTTATATTTTATTTCTCTACTATTTTGTAAATGAAATAATTTTAAAAGAGATGGTATTTGCATGTCCTTTGAAATGTTGCAAACAATTTGGGAGGGAGTGAATATTTTTTATAGAAATTACCCTAAATAGGACTAAAATATAGAGAAAAATACCAAATTAGGACTTCCATTTTTTTCTGAAATAGGATTTTGCACTGTGGTAATGTGACACTGTACGCGTGCACATTACATATACTTTTTGGTAATGTACATGACCATGTTTGGTAATGTCAATGCATTTTAAGTCTTATTTTAGAAATAAAAACATGGAAATCTTATTTTAGTATATTTTCAATGTTTTAGTCCTACTTTGGTCTTTCTCCCTATTTTCTATAAATTGATGGGAAGAAAATTATTTTTCAAAATAATAATTTTAATTGTATAATTTTATTATTGATATTTAAAATATATTTTATAGATAATTTTAAATCATTTTAATAAAATCGAGGCAGACGCCGTAAGGTGAGAGTGTTGGCGTGGGGTAGAGGGAAGGGGTAAGGAAGGATGTCAAGAGTTGGCTAGGAACGNTTTTCTATTTTTCAATAATTTTTTAAATCGAATATACTATTTAGTGAGGGCTAGTTTAAAAAAGAGTTAAGTAGGGGGAACAACACTTACATAGAGTATTAAATGAACAACCAACTCCATATATGGGCCCTAGCAACCGCCCAAAAGGGGTAAATTGGCTTTGGAAAATGATTTTATTATTAGTAAAAAGGAATAAAAGTAAAAAATTGGGACACCATCTTCTATGGGTGGCAATTGGCAAGGCCCAACGTAGGTGGGCCACAAATATGCATTTCATTCATTAAATAAAAGGCAATATAAAATGGAGAATCACACCTAAAGGTCCCCCCTTGAAATTGAGGCCTTTGAAATATCCTTGTTCCAAAAAAAAGCAAAATCGCTCCCCCAGGCGCTTCTCATCCTCTGACCGATGAGATTGTAAAAAGATGTAAATCATGATAATTTAACCAGAAATCGAGATTGGGACCAATGCTCAAAGCGCACAAGAAGCTCTCCTCATTGTTTTTGAAAAGTTGATCCCACACTGCCGCCTGTGAGACTCAATTCTTGGTCTTTTGTTCTAAATTCTACTCTGAGACCAGTTGAGCTGTTCATGCGGGCTCTTTTTGAAATATCCTAAAAATATATGCGGCAATAATCTTTTTACTTTTGGTAAAATGTTTGTGGATCATATTTTTCTTTCTCAGGTGCATCACTTCTAATTATACAATTTTATTTTTTAAGAATATTGTGTCAAACCAAATTGGCTATTCATTTGAAAACCAAAAAAGTATTAGCCACTCATTTTGTTTTCTTAAACAGGATGGGAACTTTTTTAGACAAATAAAAAAAGAAAAAGGCAATATGAGTGCATATTACTTTTCACTTATTTTCTTTTATCTGTCATTGAATTTTTCTTGATTTTTTGAAACAAAAAAAAAATTGTGGAACATATTTTACACTTTAGTCTGAATGAATCTCAATCACAAACACTTCTAATTTCTTAATTTTGGTGCTAATTGAAGTTAAAAGTTTCCAACAAAGTGAAACAGCGTGAATTCCTCAATTTAATAATTGATATAAATACACATTTTCCTTGAATATAAATTTTTTTTGAAGGAGTTTATAATCAGAATTATGTCTGAATTTTTAGTTGAGTTAATTTAATTTATTGTATTGTATTTGAGCTTTGCTGACCTAAAAGTCACGAGTTCGGCACTTCTTGTCACCCAAATTGTTAAAAATTAATATTTCACGTTCTCGTTCTCTCTCTCTCTCTCTCTCTATATATATATATATATATTTATTTATTTATTTATTTATTTATTTATTTACATCATAATATCACAATGCATATACGCCAAGGTTTATGCACATTCCAAATTTTAAATTAAACACGAAGTATGTAAATAAAAAGACAAGATTATTTTTGCAATTCAAATTTGAAGGGTAGCATGAAAGTCTGAGATTATCAATATGTTGGGTTGCAAACCGGCCACTTACAAATAGTGGCATAAGAAAAAAGAAACAAAAATAAAAATGATGTTAAAAAAATTCGTGAGAGCTTGATCCGAAGTGAAAAATAGTACTCCGTAATTATACTAATACAAGGTTAAAGAAGGTGAGGGTATTACACGCATGCACGGTGCCAATATTACCAGATAAAAAAATAATTCTTTAACAAATAGACTGTGATATTATTTTTCTCTCACTTCTCGATAAATTTTGCTTATTTGTGTGTTTTCATTGATAATTTTAAAAAATAAAATATTCTTATCACCTCTTTTTTAATTTTTGCCTCGCAGTCGGCAATCACGGATTGCATAGGCCCCCCCCTCAGACCCGGGCGAACGGTTACTGAGAGAAGGTAAATTAGATTTTGATCGCAAATTGGTGGCAAAGAGTGAAGCATGCACCTGATACTTACAGAGGTCTTATGCTTAGAATAGTTACCTCCCAACGCAGTTGCGAGGAATTAAACTCGAGTTTATCCTCCTCGACACTCTTTACATTTGTCAACTGCACAATACCCAACAACGAGTATAAAAGTTTATCACTAGATATATATCATGGAGGAGAGAGAGATGGGTTTTTAGTAAAGGACTAGAAGATAATCAAAACATGAAAGATCATATCAATGACATAACCATTGATCCAATGTTTTGGCATATCAACCGTACAGTTATGTAACATACCCTCGGCCCCGCCATAGATATCACATTCAATTCCATATACTCCCTCCTAAAATGTTTTAGGAATTGACTTTTACAAAAGATTAAGAAAAATATTTATAAAAAAATGAAATGTGTGCTAAAATTTATTTATATAAAAGATAAATGTTATCAATCACGTATTCATTACTGACATAGGAAATAAAGTGAATGTAAAATATTTAATAACACTATTTATTACTCACACAAAAAATAAAGTAAATGTTAAATTTTTTGAGACCTTGTGAAAAGAAGAGGGTAAATTATGAATGGGTAAGTAAGAAATTTTGTAATCTCAATTGATGGGAGAGTACCGTACGTTTAGAATATATACCATGCAATATTGTTTGTTTGTCTTTTCTAGTAAAGAGAGTAGGACATGATAGATTTTTGTAGGGACTAGGGAGTAATATGATGGTAAAAGTAGTTGGCAAGTCCTTACATTATAGTACAAAAATATTTACCTAATTTAATGTGCACTACTTGCTTAGTTTTTCAAAGAATTTGAGAGTTTGATTATAGGGGATTAAAAAAATTTGAAAATCCGGTGGAAAGTAAAAAAATGTACAGTTTACTTTTATTTTAACGAGAGAGAATCAATGTTATCCACATATGCACGGAGTATTTGTTTCGAAAAAAGAGAAAGTGGAAAGTATATAAAATTGTTTCAAATTGTTTACTACGTGCTTTAATAATGTCTTTTTGATTAGAGTTGTGCCATTGGCCACTATCAACCTAACCTCACTCATACGGAGTAAAAAATACAGAGTACTTGTATTCAACGTCTCGCGAGTGTACAATGTACACATTGTTCTAGATAGGATACACTTTTTTTATATATAAAAATCTTTCAAAGAACAAGGCAAAATGAAAACTATGGATCTTTTTTTCCTCTGATTAACTAATCCAATTCCAATGTCACTAATGAGGGTCAAAGAAGAAGAATATATTGAGAAATTGATCCCAAGACCAAACACAAGATTACACCTAAGTTGCACGGGGACGGGGATGGGGTTGGGAACGGGGACACGCTGAGTCTTCCAAATTTTACAAAGAATATGGGTGTTGTGATGCCTCCAAGTGCCCAATTGGGAATGTTCCGAGGACGGAAAACGAAAGTTATTTGAAGAATCCGTGCAAGATATAGGATTAAACATGTGATCCTTAATCCTAGATTATACCAAGACCAGAGAGACCAAATGCGTTCATATGAAAATCTCCACCTTGAATTTTCCCAACCAAAATCTGACCATGTCCTTTGAATGGGAATATGATCTTCCAAACAGAGCACTAAAGCACGGTATGTGGTTTTCGTAAGGCCAAAACTTGCTGAGTCTTATTCTGGGTACACAAATATCTGGAAAAGAAGAAGAAAATAATATCATAAGAACAAAAATTTATATAGCACGGCATCCATAACATTCACTAGAAGAAACAATGACCTAATCACCTCAATGTTTTAATAGCAAGCACAATTTTTTTAGAAAAAATTGTGTTGTTGAGATTTTTTTATAGAAAAATTGCCCAGTCAGTGCAAGCATGGCTTTCACATTGGATTAGCCGTCCATTGAGTGTCCTTTAACAAACAATCAAAACAAACAAAGTCGGTAGAATGCTAGAGAAGTGGGGTCTGGAGAGGGTGTGTGTTCACATACCTTACAAGTAGAGAGGTTCCAGTGAGTGCCCCTCATTTGATAAAATTTAAACGTGTTGCTAATCGAGGGACCCAAATCCGAATAGGTGGAAAATGTTGGGGATCCAATTGATGCAAATAAAAGTTGGGGGACCAAATAAGGTATGGAACTAAACCAAATCTTGTTTAGCCAAATGCATGTATGCTATACTGTTGTGTTTGGTATGGTGGTTTGGTGAGCATGGAAACAAATACGGAGTAATTAGATACACTGAGGTCAGATATGTCAATAAGTTCAGACCGTCTAACAATCTACTCCCTCCGTCCCAAATTATTTGTCACATTTTTATTACCGAGGTAAAATATCAAGTTTTTTCAATTCATTTTATTTACATATTGGTAAAGAAATAAAAAATAGAAATTACATATCAAAAAACTACATGAAAAGTTCTTCGAAATAAGAGGTGTCAAGAATATTTTATTTTATCAAATAACCAATGAAAACGTAGAAATAAATAAAAGTTCCTGCAACTGTTGAAAAAGCAAATGTGACAAATAATTTGGGACGGAGGGAGTATAACAAATAGATTGACTGATTTGACTTGCTTCGGTTGGTTTTGATTGAGCATAATGATTAGTGATCAACCATAAACATCAAACTTACTAAGATAAAATGTATCATTTGGTAGCAGAAACATTCTTCGACTGCTACAAGGACAAGATACTTAAAATAAAAATCACAAGTTATGACAATTCTAGAGTGGTTGCCGTTTCTAGGTTACTTACCTCCAGTTCTAATAAAGAATCATAAGTCTTCTTCTCATGCTTGTCAAATATCGTTATGCCTGTAATTTTTTGTATCCCTTGTTTCACAGCAATCAAATCCTGCATGTGTGGGAACCCATTTATCACCTTACGGAATATAAGAATGAATAAGACTTGGCTGGCTGGCCCTAATTCAAGATTAAACTGCCACCAACCCTTTCAATTGATACAAATATATATATATATATATATATATAATCCCCTTTATATATTTTGTGAAGGCAACAAAAACTTGCGATTATATTTTTTTTCAATGGCATATAACGTAACTGTTGTATGTGGGAGGATGATCCTTTCCATAGAAAATCTCTAAGAGCAGTAGAATGAATGCATGATCAAATTACATCCACATTGTTCATGTCAAACTGATTAAGTGATTCATGAAAAATGAAATATACCAACACTTGGGGAATTTTTTGAAATATGATATTTGCGGAAGAAGATTAGAACACTATCGTAAAATGAGTTGATGTAGATATAAATAAATTGAAAAGATGATCCTTACCAGATGAAACTCTGAAGAGTTAAATGGTTCTACATGTGGCAAAAACTGTTACAGGATGGCAGTGAAATAAAGTTAGAAGGAAATATCAAAAGAAGTGACTAAAAGACGAACATTACGTTAAATTACATCAATTTTTTCAAGAAACGCCAAAGAAAAACTATGAGATGGAGTTCGTGTTCTATGTTTGGATAAATCAATGAGCAAAATAGTTTTGTTAGAGAAAAAAAATTGTTAAAAAATTACACAACTACATACGGAATAAATTGTAACTTGGTGACCAGCAGAGATGAAGGCAAGCAAGAGAATTTGCATTCATTATTACTCTCACCGTTGTTTGAAGACCATTAACCATCACAGGTTTTTCATCTAGTGATTCACTTTGAGACATCCGAACTTCAAAAGGACCCAATATCCGATCTGTCTGATTTGTGAGGTTGAAACGTACCTACAAATTACCAAGAAAGACATGGGGTTTCAGCTGGAGCCTGGATAAATCCAGGTATTTGATAAGGATATATAGGTAGACTAATTGAAGTAATCAATTCCAAATCTGATTAAATTTGAGGGGTTAAGGTCCATATGGCCCACACCTAGATTTGATTGCCTAATGACTCTTACCAAGAAAGGTTTCTCAAATATGATGACAGGTGGAACCTCCACTGCTCCCAACTCTATGTCTTTGTGAACAATAGGCTGTAAAGAGAGATGTCATGAGGAAAAAGAAAGTGAAAATAAGCATAAGGCATTGCCAGAGATAATAAAATATTTTGTAATAGGCCAAGCTGTGAACAAAGAAAACCAAACTCCACTTGTATTCTTACAATTCTAGGACCACTAGCAGACTTTTGTATTGACATTTTGATTGGCTATCAGTATTTAGGGTAGCACTCTTCATTATAGACTTTTATGCTAGGAATGAAGTTATACATTTTCTCTTCATTTTCTCATCTCTGCTCTACCCAAACATGCTCCTCACCCCTACCACTCTGTTTCAAGTTATTTGATTAACCTTTAAAATCCAATCTCAATACTTGTTTCTCTTCATTTGTACAATCACTTAACACTCCATCGGTATATCCTGTTTTATTTACATAATGCTCAGTTCTTATTAACAATCCACTACTTTTTGTATCATCAGCATTATATGAACATGATATCCTTTGCATTTTCCAAGCATATGAAACTATTGGTTCCTATTTGAGAACTGCCTTTGACGATTCATCAATTCAAGATGCTACTTGATGGCATGGTGCCAATACGAATGGCCTTCTATCCATTAAGAAAAACATAGAAATGAAGTTCCAACTTTTCACTTACACTCCCAAGAATATTTTGTGTCTGGAGACGCCCTGGTTCACCCAAGTTTGTGCGCCATGTGATCTGAAGTTTGCCCAGGACATTGCTTCCCTCAACTTTCAGCAAATGAGATCCTTCTGGTGATAATCTTAATTGGTAGAGAAAATTATGAACACCTCCTCCGGATCTTATGATAACTGGAGGCTTGAATAACTCTCTGGAAGATTAATATAAGCTATTCAATAAAGCAGGGGCTAACCTTTACAACATTTGAGAAAGTGAAGATACTTGTAACTAAAGTAACAATGAGTGCAGCTATAACTAAGCAAATGCCAAAACACCTCACTAATAAATTATTCTCCAAATGATGATCATCTGGTCTTAGTACGGTAGCAACCCAATTTTGAGCAGGCTCGAAGTCGACTTGGTCCATATAGAGATTAGATTTTGTATTATTCTCTATGCATGCCTCCAAAAATGTAGTTTCCTAGTAAAAGAACTGGATGCCATAAATAGTTGAGTATGATAAATAGGTCACATATTGATTGATCATAATGGAAAAAGAAGGGTCAAATACAAACTGTGCAATGTTACAAACCCAATTTACTGTCTCCTACCCAGGTACCATACATGAATTTTACACACAAGCAGATATGATGAATGGTGTTCCAGTAGAAGCGTATGAAGAAATAAAATAGTTCTGGAAGGAAGATGACCTTTGTGTCGATAAATTTCTAAAAGCCTACCTTAACGACGCGAACCTGCACAATAGAAACAAAAATGAAATGTATTACACTATGAACACGAATAACAACAACAACATCAACATTACCCCAATGCGTCAGGCCCTCAAGGGCTCCCACCCATTGCAGTGTAGGAGGGGTTCGGATGTACGCAGCTTGAACCCAATGTTTAAAACACAGAGCAGTTGTTTCCAGATGACCCAAGATGAGCATCGAAACTTGCATTGACTAATTGTTACTTCAGTATAGAAGAAGCACAGACAGTGTAAACTTTAAAGAGCCATTTTGTTTTATTCCATCACAACCCAAACCCAAAAAATAGTGAACCTATGGCTCCATTGGAGATGGTGGAATAGATATGTTTGCGAAGTCAAAGTAGCAAGTTACAACCACTCTTGGCAGTATGTATGCATTAATTATACTCCCATTGAAGCATGCATTAGAGGCATTCTAGACTGCACCTTTGTTCGAACAGAAAGGGGGTTCGTAACTATGAATTTGAAAAACTGTGGTAGATATTTACGCTCAGCATCACCATCACTATATTGAGCAGTGCACACCAATCTACAAATCCAGGAAATTGTTAAAATGAAAATCATAACACTACAGACGTCATATATTAACAGAAAAAACAGTATCACAAACATACGTATGTGCACCAAGTTCTTTCACATCATGTTCTACAATGAAATCATATCGTCCTCCAGCTCGTATGGACTCAACGGGGGATTTTGATGTATCCAAAAGAAGTATTCGTTGCTTTTCTGTTTGGATTTCTGCCTGTATCGGATTATTTAATGTTTAGCTAAAGAAAATAAGGATTTATTTATTTCACAACATGATCTTTGCAAAGTTACATAAAAGAAAGACTCACTTTGTCACATAAAAAGTTCCACGTTTCCTTATTTGTTTGTCCAAAAACAGGTTCTTATATCCTATTGAGGAAGGAATTGTGTGTTTCACAAAATTTCTATCAACCATACATTTTCACCTTTATAAACAGTTGTGCCCAATCAATTTATTAATCGTTGAGCCCAATCATTTGTGGATCTTTATTTTGGGAAAGAGTGAGTATTCAAATTAAATAATCATATCAATAATTGTTTCCCATTACTATAGCTTATCACTAAAGACAAAAAAAATCTCTATTCTTTGCTTGTAGTTATTGTGTTTTGGAAAAAAGTTGCACACAAAATAAAAACACCTTAATAACACAGCATCCATATCATATGAACTAAATGGTGTCGATGACTTAGATGCTAAAGATGTACTCCCTTTGTCCCTTTTTAATCTTCCAAAACAAGAATATGAGTAGTACAGAATTACCGCCCTTACGGCAATGACCATGTTACACGGCAACAGAATATTCAAAATTTTATAAGGTCTTCAAGGTATGGCTATGTCTATTCTGGACCTTTAGATGAGTCATATACACTGAAAATTTATTTGAGTAAAGAATCTTGTGGAGCATGAAGTCATGAACTATTTCCTGCCATATACTACATCACTATACAGTTCTTCATTCTCCAGTCCTAATACCCTAAAGGACAAGCACTATATACACTATAAGCTAGCAGTAAAATGGTCCTAATGCCTCACAAACTAAAGTGATGTTGGTAAGTGGATAAAATTTGAAACCATATCTTATCACTCAAGTTGAGCAAATCCAATTGCATTTATATAAAGCCTAGTACCAGCAACAGCTCATCGTTGCAAAGAACAACCCAATGAATCAATCATCCAATCACCTTGATTACAACATCCCTGACTTCGACATTAGAACTGTTGTTTATACTGATATAACTGCAGAACGTCTCTCCCAAATATATCGCCCTGCAAGAAGATCCCAATTTCTCATCAATCAAAACTCTGGAAACTCCGATACAATGCACTATATGCTGCAGTGAGAAGGAGAGTGAAGGATGTAAGATTAACCCGAAGGATTGGGGGAGGACGAGGAGGCCAGGGACACCGAGGGAATCGGATGACTGATCGAGGAGAAATCTGGAGCGGTACGAGAGATCCGACGGGTCAGAAACACTGTCGCCGGCGGTAACGGATTCGCAGCCGGAGAGGAGACGAGGGAGGTGATCGGCGGCGACGGAGTCGTCGAACAAATCCTCGCCGAAGAGCAGATCGCAGGGGTGGAAACGGAGTGGGATTTCAACGTGAAGAGATGGCCTGCAGAGCCTCATCACCCGGAAGGCTAGAGAGTGTGGAGTTTGTGCAGAGCTACTCATCTTCGTCTTCTTTTCTTCTTATTCTTCAAGCTCAAAAACTGATTTCAAAACAAACTACACAAATGCTGGTCCGAAATTAGTAGTTGCTTGCGAGAAGTAAAGTTTTTTACTAGTTACCCCCTCCACTTGAAAATGAAATAAATTGTGAATGACATGTAGTGATATTTCCTGAAAAAATCGAGAATACTGAATCGTACTCCAATGTAACTAAATTGTACCGAATCGAACGATCGATCCGGTATTTGGGAACGGTACAAGGTTATTTCCCATACCAAAATTCTCAAACCGAACATATATACTAATATGTTATAAAAATAATAATCATTTTATATTTTTCCATTAAATAAAAAATTTATATAAACAATTTAGTTTAATTTCATTGTGTTTAAATTGCACTTTAATAAGAGTTTTTTTATTTTTTTTGTAAATGAATATAAGAGTATTAACAAACATTTGAAATACGTAATAATTTGTTATCACTCGTTCTCTTTAGTTGTGAAATATAAACTAATTTTCATAAATATTTCTTGCATTTTATTTTTTCATTTTTAGATTTTTTATCTTTCTTTGGTTAAATGTACTTTCAGTTTTTCAAAAATAAAAGATTTTGTTACATTTTATGGTGTAAACTTAGTACTTCCTCCGTCCTAAAACTTTCTTCCCATAACACTATTTCAACTTCACGGAAATTTATATTTATTTGTGTTTTTTCATGGCCTATATGATAAAATAAAATATTTTTGTCACCACTTGTTTTGTTGAACTTTTGATGTAGTTTTTAAATATGTATGTTTTATTTTTTTGTTTCTATACCAATATTTAAATAAAATAGATTGAAAAAACTTAGAATTTTTCTTCGTTTTGCGCAACGGGAAGAAAGATGTAGGACGAAGAAAGAACATATATATTCATCCTGATTTCTACCGAAACCGTATATATTCATTCCGATTTTACTCTAATTCTCTAAAGCTTACTCAAGTACTAGTTTTCTACCCCGTGCTTCGCACGGGCTCGTGATTTATGCTGAGTGTTGTGAGCATTTTTTAAAATGTATATTTCATGTTCCAACAACTACAGCACGACAGCGCCAATTATCTCAATCCAAAATAATGAAAAAAGCAAAAACTACCATCCAATAGCCAAACTAACAAAAAAACATCCTTACCAATATTCAAACTTATTAAACTCAAGTGTAGTTCCAACAAAGGAGAGCTTGATCAAATTTTGAGTATAAATTTTGGTATTAAGGTGTAGCAAACAAGAGTTGTATATACATCCTCCAACTTCATCACCAATAATTTAGCCAAACCTGAGACTCTTCGAAGCAAACAGAAACGGAATCAAACTACAAATAGAAGTTGCACAGCCAAACAGAACTAAACTTTTACAGAACTAATACCAAGCTTTCTTTTGACACCTGTTCAATATGTAATTATATATAGTAAACCAAAAATATTGACTCCATGAAGACATGCAAATGATATTTGACAGCTAAACCCCAATACTAAGAAAGATCTGTATTCATAGATTGTTAAACCATATGATTGGGTTTGAAAAAGAGTAAATGAGAAAATGAGTACTTTTCCAACCAAATGTCATTGATATGCCTTCAATTTGCAGTTGAGAAGGTGTTTCATCATTTAGTCGATATAGCATAGATGCTTCTACCAAATTAATTATTCAATCAATAAGCAAATTAAATTCACCAACCTTAATTCTTTGTATAGAAAATCAAAGTATACCATGATTAAAATATTAAAGTATACCATGATTCGCCGCTTGTTGACTAAAAACACACCTTAAATCTTGAAGCTCTAGCATGAGGCACACACTTGAGCCCAATAATTTTCTTCACCAATACTTTCCCCTCCGTGCAAACATGCCCGACCACGTCTGTGAAAACTTTTCGTTCTATAGGATATAAATTTGACTAAACCGGCAACAATAGAAACACATTAAAAAAGACAAAATAAGCTATAAGTATGTAATATTGACCCATTCTTTCATACCTTATCAAAGTACATTGAATCAAAGTGGTGCATTGGATGGTTGGTTCACTCGGAAATTCAACCAAGTTTCAAAATTTGGAGCTGTTTTGGACATGGTGACAGATAGGTTCAGTACTGCTTGTCTCCTCGTGATTCTTTCGCAAGTTTACCAGCCTGGCTTGATTTTCTTGTCTTTGCTCGCTTTAGATATTGGAAGTCACTGGTTAGAAATGTATAGCTCCTTTTGGCCGGGAAAACCAGCCATAAAGATGTGAAGGACATCAGTAGTTGGCTATTCCGAACATATTATGGAAATCGAGAGTTTATGGCCTATTGTTGTATATGCTGTGAGGTTCTTTACATCAATTCAGCAAAGAAAATTGGGCTCTACTTTTCCCTGCTTTCCTTACTTCTCTTTAGCTTGGAAACTAAGCAATTGGTCAATCTTATACAGATGAAGACTGCTGCAGATATATGTGTACACTACGACATTGCAAAGCAGCAATAGCGCGGCCGCGGGGGTGCCCCTAATGCAGATGTGTGTATTCTGATGACAACTTTCTCTCGGTTTTTATGGTCCCTTTTGTCATTGTTGGAACAGAAAAGCGCCCATCTGGTGAAGAAACAAACCTTTAAAAAAAATTAGAGTGCATTGAGTGATCATTGATGAGCTTACGGGCTATACAGCAAGCCATCATAAACCTGACTGGTTTTAAGTGCACATTTGGGGACTTATATATGATTATTATTGCCTGCTATACACACACACACACACGCACGCGCACACACACACACACGCACGCGCACACACACACACACCAATATCTAGAGAACACCAGGTCTGTAGTTTCTATTAATTTTGGACCATTGTGAAGTCAACTTGCTCATAGCCCTACATTTTCTAAGTCTAATACCACCATAAGCTCAGGCAGGGTGTCATGCAAAACACATTTTATAGTAGGAGTTCATGCTCTAGATCAGTAAGGTCATGGTAAACTTTCACATTGGTATTTGGAAGGTCTAAGCTGTGTTGAAATAGGCTTTTCAAGAGCATCTGAGCATGTAATCACAATTGCTTATTAAAGTGAATAGAATTTGTCCTCCAACCCTTACACAGTGTATACAAATCTATTTTTATATAATTTCAGTTGCACAATTTTTTTCCTCTATGGTGCTTTAAAAGGTTGTGCCCCATGGTAATTGCTTAGACTTTAAAGTGATCAATATGATCACGGTTTGGGCAATTCTAAAAGGGCTTTCTTACTCTCCTGTGCAGTTTATACTTTGCCAAAGTTATACTTTGTTGCTTTACTTTTTAATCAACCAGTCTTAGCCACATACCTAAAACAATGCAACCTTAAAAGACCACAAAAGTAATATGCAATTTTGCAAGTTGTATGGTGCATATGTTTTTTCAATAAGCCAAAGTTTTAAAATATAAACTAATTCAAACAAACACAAATATATCCAGCTTTAAATATTAAAAAAACATTAAAGGAAAACAATGTAAAGATTTAAAGTTTTAAATTTTTACATATATTCTTGTTGTTGTAGTGCATCTTTAATATTTCCTGGTGCAGTTTAAGTGTTTGATTAGGAATAACTATCAACACTTGTGTGAATCTACTCAATAAAGGAAAGTCATGGGGTCAAAGGTCTTGCTAAATCATTGATTTGGTTGCAAATCCAGAACATAACCATCAAGGTCTAGCTAAGTGAGGCTATTTAAAAATTGTTGTGTTGCTGAACTGTGACCTGTAACAATTACTGCTGAGTAGTAGTTTTCATTCC